CATTAGCGGCAGCATAGCAGTATATTTTTGTATGGTTGTTTGGTTATGTTCTCATTTTCTCGGTCTCATCTGATAGAATGAAAGATATATTACAGAAACAGATATGATTTTGATTGCTTTCATGACAAAAGTACCTTGAAATTGCACTCACAGTAGCGAAGATGTTCTATTCTTTAGCGAAGCTCAAGAGTAAACAAATGACGTCACCGTCCAATACCTGTCGCCTGCCAGTCCAAATTCCAATACACAGTCAAGAATGGCTTGACATTATTTATACAATTGTTACAATAATGCAGTAGTCTGCATAACAGTAAATCTTCTATTTTTTTGTGAATAAAAATTCCAAATGGTAAGCAAGAATAATATAAGATGGGCCTGTAGCCATGACTAATGAACAGAGAAAAATGTTATTTTAGTGCCAGGAATGTCTGCATTGTTTATTCTGGACCCTATTTTGAAATTGGCATCTGTTGAAATTTGTGTGAAATCGGCCAAATTGCCAATTTCTGACCACTTTATTGGGTAGTTGAAATAAGTGATTGGGCGGTTTCTTGTACTCAGTTGACAGACTAGAAGTAAGTTTATTCAGGTATACACAAATACAGTTACATAGATTATCATACATATCAGTGTATGTATACAGAACCTAGGATAACCAAGAAAAGTCAGACAAAGTGACTTATTTCCAGTACCTGGCTTGGGCTTGCCATATATGATTTTTGGTAAATATTTTTTTTTTCTCGGTTGTTTGTTGGGCTATCTCATTGAAACTTGGGCAGTGTATGATGGAAAGATGCTTCTTAACGTACAACAAAAATAAAAAAGACGGATGATAAATAAGGGAGTTCACTTCTTAGCCATTAGCCGCCTCTTTGCAGTATATTTTCGTGTAGTTTTTATGGTTGTATTCTCATTTCTTTTGACTCATTTGATAGAATGGAAGATATATTACAGAAATAGACATGATTTTGATTGCTTTCATGACGAAAAGTACCTTGAAATTGAGCTTAACTCTTTGACTGTCGCAGGCCCCTTTCTGAAACTGTCATTCTATGTCGACAAATTTTTGGAAAAAGAAAAAAAAAAAATTATTTTTTCTTATGAAATGATAGGAATGTTTTCCTGATGGTAATGACACCAAATGTACGAAATTTGGTCGAAAACTCACGGAATTACGCCCCCACGAAGTTAGCAGTCTCGGCGACATATACATATTGGCAATTTTGCCGACTTTGAGCCCTATTTTTAGCCAACTCCGTTGTTCCAGTTGACCAAACTCATAGCTATTTCTTTAGAACTCCATGTTATCTATCAGTTGAGTACAAGAAACTGCCCATTTGCCAATTTGAACTACCCAATATAGTGGTCAGAAATTGGCAATTTGGCCAATTTCACGCAAATTAAAAAATATGCCAATTTCAAAATAGGGCCCAGAATAAACAATGTAGACATTTTTGGCACTAAAATAACATATCCTCTGTTCATTAGTCACGTCTCTAGGCCCCTCTTATATTACTATTGCTTTCTATTTTGATTTTTTATACAAAAAAATACAAAATTTACTGTTATGCATTATTGTAAAAATGGTATAAATAATATCAGTGCACTAGTGAAAGAATATTAGACTCCCCAGTTGATGTGTATTGGACATGTGGTGTGATTTGCTTACTCCTGAACATTGGTAAAAATTGAACATTCTGCTACTTTGAGCACAATTTCAAGGTCGTTTTCATCATGAAACTAATCAAAATCATCTCTATTTCTGTAATATGTTTTCCATTCAAAAAATGAGACCAAGAAAACGAGAATACAAGCATAAATACCATACGAAAATGCACCTGAAATTCGGCGTTTTAATCCAAAAACACGGTCAGAGTTTTTTCTCATTATGCACTGCGTGCTGCAGCATTTTTTTTTTATACAGTGCACACTGACCACACAGACCCATTCTCTCACATGTGGGCCTACCAGCTTTCTCCTGCTTGAATTGAAGCCGCTAGAATTATTGAGTATATATACATCTGAAACACTGGCTCGTAAGACGTATATATACGGCCAAAACAGTCAAAGGGTTAATGCACCTCAGAGTGATTATTATTGCGTTATTATTATTATTATTAATATGGCATCTTTAAGACTAATAAGACACTCTTGAGTTTTTAAAGTGTACCTGCACATCAGCACAGTGTGCAAGGTTACTTAGGTAAAGGTACACATAAGTACATATAGTTATCAGAGTACAGCCTCTCCTCACTTACTGACGTACTTGTTTACTGACGACTCAGACTTACAATGGGCTCTCTGACCAAGATGCATACCTAAATAATGTATATTACAGCTGATTTCCTGCTTTGTTTATTACAATATATAGTCCACTACTGCATAAACATTTAAAAATACACAGTAGGGCCCCGCTTTACGGCGTTCCGCTAATTCGGTCATTTTAAATTATGACCAAAACTCGCTATACGGCTCCCCCCACCTGACTTTCTAATACGGTCACCGCGCCCCACCCTGTTTGTTTACATTCTCTGTGAGATCCTAAGCACTAAGTCTCTCCATTTTGTCTGGAAACTCCAAATTTTCAAGTGTTTTTAAAAGTTATTTCATATTTTATATATACTCTGATAATTATACTTATGTATACCTGTACATAAATAAACTTACACACTGTGCTGGCATGCAGGTACACATTAAAATCAGTAAGAGTGTCTCATGTCTCCAGACGTCATATTAGTAATGATAATAATAATCACCGAGTCTCATTTAAATGTCATATATTACGTCAATATACACATTTTCATTAATCCATCTATGATATTTTTTTCAAAATTATATAATAAACACGATGCATAACATATAAATATGATAAATATACCCCACAGTAGAATAAATAAATATAAATATGAGATGTGGTAGCAGACGACTTGCACAAGTGGCGCCACATTAGAAATAATAATAATAATAATCACCGAGTCTCATTAAATGTCGTATATTACGTTAATATACACATTTTCATTAATCCATCTATGATATTTTTTCAAAATTATAAATAAACATGATACATAACATATAATGATAAATACACCCCGCAATATAATAAATAAACATAAATATGAGATGTGGTAGCCAGATAACTTGTACAAGTGATGGCAAGAATAACATTTTCTCTAATCTAACTTAAGAGAAAATGTGTTACTGGGGGTAACTGTAGAAAATTATTCCTTTCGTATGTATGTAAGTTTATTCAGGTATACACAAATACAGTTACATAGATTATCATACATAACAGCATATGTGTAGAGAACCCAGGATAACACAAAAAAGTCAGAGTGACTTATTTCCATTGCCTTCACTCAGAGCGTCATTTCTTCTCAAAATGATGTTACATGAGAATGGGAGTGTTCTTCTTTATTTATTCTACCGTATCAATGTAGAGACAACCTGTACACAATGTAACTTGTACACAAACCAGAAGTGTACACTTTCTTTGTTTACAAAACTTACCTTCGCCTGGTTTGTTTACATAACTCTGCGCCTGTCCTCTCTCATGCACTCATTCTTTCTCTCTTCATTTATTCGTTTTATCTCATTTACTTACTCCTGACCCTACATTAAGACTACAAATATTTTAAGGTAAGTAATGAGTGAACTGTATATACATTTTATAGCTCTGGGATGCTTAAATATCATAGAATAGTATGTGTGGGTGGGTTGGCCTGGTATGGTAGCCCGGCTGACTGCCATACATACCACACTTGATTTTTTACAATAAATACTACTCATCTCACCCTAGATTAAGACTACAAATATATTAAGGTAAGTAATGAGTAAACTGTATATGCATTTTATCGCTCTGGGATGCTTAAATGTAATAGAACATTATGTGGCCTGATATGGTAGCCCGGCTGACTACCACACATACCACACTTGATTTCTTACAATAAATACTACTTGTCTCACCCTGGATTAAGACTATAAATATTTTAAGGTAAGTAATGAGTGCACTATGTGTGTATTGTACTTTTTTATTGTTTTTTGATGCCTAGTTCTATTGCTAACTTAATATATGTTAGTGTAAACTTGTTATCTAGTATTTGTATGCATTTATAAGTGGAAAAAAAGGGTGTTCCATTTTACGTCGATTTACGCTTTACGGCGGTAGCCTGGAACCTAACCTGCCATATAAGTGGGGACCTAATGTAACAGAAATGTTATAAATGGTGCAAGGGTGACATTAAAAATATCAAAGATGGTTGACACAAACCCACTGCCAATATAGCATGCTCCTCACTTAGCAACGAATTCGTTTACCGATGAGGTCTCAGGAACGGAACTCTGTTGTTAAGTGAGGAGAGGCTGTATATATAAAATATGAAATAACTTTAAAACACTTGAAATTTTGGAAAGTTTTCCAAACATAATGGAGAGACATGGTGTTCACAGAGAATGTAAACAAACCAGGTGGCGCACACCATATTAGAAAGATGGGGAGCCGTATAGAGAGTTTTGGTCATAATTTGAAATCTCTATTAGCTGAACATTGGAAGGCAAAACGCCATAAAGCAGGGCACTACTGTAATCAATTGTTGTATTGCAGACAGAGAAGAATAAAATGAAGCATGAACCGAAATTCAGAAAACTGCTTCCATGCAAAACTAAAATAATTACAGTACTTGTATTTTAAATGGGTGATTGTTGGTGTAAAAAAAAAAAAAGTGGCTTACATGCGGTAATTTCTAATTATAAAACTTCTGTGCTGCAACCAGTGCAATATAAAAACACTAAGGCTATGTTATCCACCCTGCTTTGGTGGGATAAGGCCAGTTTGTTGAAAGAAGAAGAAGGCTATGTTATGCTTGCATGCTTTTTCAACCTCTTTGGATTAGTATCTCATTTAATGCAATTTCCATAGTGAAATTTTATCTTTGATTTCTAGACATTTCTGCTGGAACCCTTAAAAGATCCTTTAGTTTGCTATTGTATACAAGTGCTATTACCTTTGCATCAGCTACAGGGTCATCAAAGAATCCCTCAGGCAACACTTCTGTTGTATTAGGTTTGGGTGGATCTTTGGGCTTAGGTGGCTTCTCTTGATATATCGATTCTCTTCTTGAGAGTTTGAAATAGTTTCATCAGTATCAAAGAAGCCTTCAGGAACACCTGTAATTATAATATCCATATATCATAAAATATACTTCTTCTAGTTGGCTAAATAGCTATATACTACAGCCCATCCTAATCATTGTCATTAAGCCACTGATGCTAAGGTTGCCAAGATAATTAGAAATATGACTGTTCACAAGCATTAAAAACAGTGATTATCTGACTGAAAATTTTAGAATGCCCTTGGAGGGGCCAATGTCTATTGCAGCTTTACAAAATTTTGTTGCCACTAAGTAATACTTCATTCACTGCATTGTGGTATGTGATAGATAGGTTAATTTTTATTACTGGACAACAATCTAACATAACCAAACTTAATCTAACCAAACCTAAATAACATAAATCAAGAAAGCTGCTGAAACCATGTGTAAGAATTCTACTTAGAAGCTGCAAGGATGGTTGATTTTAGAACATTTATTTCTATTATCCCTTTCACTGTCGAGACCCCGCTCGCAAACTTGCTCTCAGTGTCGAAGAATTTTCAAAGAAAAAAAATTATTTAATGAAAAGATAGAGAATCTTTTTTCCCAAAAGTAATGAAACCAAAAGTACGAAATTTGATGAAAAACTTATGGAGTTACACTCTTGCGAAGTTAGTGGACGAGGTGATATTTACACATCAGCGATTTCGCCTACTTTGAGCCCTATTTTGGGCCAATTCCATTGTTCAAACTGACTATATTCAAAGCTATTTTGCTAGAACTCCTTTTGTTCTATCAACTGAGTACAAGAAACTGCTTATTTACCTATTTCAACTACCCAATAGTGATCAGAAATTGGTAATTTGGCCAATTTCATGCAAAATTGAAGAAAGGCCAATTTCAAAATAGGGTCCAGAATTAACAATGCAGACATTCCTAGCAGTGAAATAACATTTTCTCTGTTCATTAGTCACGTCTCCAGGCCCCTCTTATATTACGCCCGCTTTCCATTTTGAATTTTTATCCACATAAGAAACAGAAGATTTACCATTATGCAGACTACTGCATTATTGTAAAAATGTTATAAATAATCTCAGTCTATTTGCAAAAGCATATCAGATCCAGCAGTTGACGTGTACTGGAGGAGTGATATGATTTGTTTAGTCTTCAACATCAGCAAAATTTAACATTTTCGTTACTTTGAGCTCAATTTCAAGGTACAATTATTCTGTAAACCATTCAAAATCATCTTTATTTCTTTAATATATCTTCCATTCTATCAAATGAAATCAAGAAAAAATACACCGCAAAGTCGGTTTTAACCCTATAACTGTCCAAACATAGATCTACGTTCTTTCGCCGAGCACTTCCTTTAATTTGAATTATTTTTTTTTAATAAAAAGGAATTTTTTACATAAAGTCATATAAAAAAATTGAAGTCAGACTCATGGAGATATAGGCGTGCAAAATTGGCGCTTGTCGCTCCTGACAGCAACATGAAAGTGTTGCCGCTATACAGTGGACCCCATTTTTCAACTGGTGGGGAAATTGTACAATCTGGATTTCGAGCACTTTTTTGGCAAAATTTCCCCCAGGTTTCGCACATCGGCTTGGAAATTGACGGTACCAGACATGTCACCTGAGCCGTTCATTACGTTCATGACTCACACTTGGGCACATTAAGTGTCTTATTTTATGTTAATATAGACATTTTTTATTAATTCATCTACAATATTTTCTTCAAAATTATGTAAGAAAACACGTTACATAGCATATAAACATGCCTTGTTTACTTGTTCACTCAGTGTCCCTCTAGTCTTAATGCCATAGTAATACTAATAATACGTAATAATAATCACTCTTGGGCACATTAAATGTCTTATTCTATGTTAACCCTTTCAGGGTCTGCAGGCCCTCTCCAAAACTGTTCTCAGTGTCGGAAATTTTTGGAAAAAAAAAAAAAAAAAAAATCTTATAAAATGAAAAAAATCTTTTTCCCGATCATTTAAAGGTACCAAAAGTATGAAATTTGAAGGAAAAATTACGGAATTATGCTCTGGGAGGTTAGCGTCTCGACGATGTTTATGCATTGGCGATATCTCCCACTTTGAGCCCTATTTCGGTCCCAATTCCAATGTTCAAGTGGAGAAAATCATAACTATTTCGCTAGAACTTTCCATCTTTTCTATTGAATGAGTACAAGAAACCACCCATTTACCGATTTCAACTATCCAATAAAGTGGTCAGAAACTGGCAATTTTGCCAATTTCATACAAATTTCAAAAGATGCCAATTTCCAAATAGGGTTCAAAATAAACAAGACAGGCATTCCTGGCACTAAAATATCATTTCCTCTGTTCATTAGTCACGTCCCCAGGCCTCTCTTACATTTCTTTTGCTTTCCACTTTGAATTTTTATTCTCACAAATAAATGGAAGATGTTACTGTTATGCAGACTGCTGCATTAGTGTAGAAATGATATAAATAATATCAGCGCACTTGTGAAAGAATATTAGACTCACCAGTTGACGTGTATTGGATGCGTGGCATGATTTGTTTACTTTTGAACTTTGGCAAAAATTGAGCATTTCTGCTACTTTGAGCTCAATTTCAATGTACTTTTTATTGTGAAACCAATTAAAATCATCTCATTTTCTGTAATATGTCTTACATTCTATGAAATGTGACCAGGAAAACTGGAATACAACCCTAAATACCATACGAAAATACACTGCAAAATCGCTGTTTTAAACCAAAAACACGGTCGGAGTTTTTTTTTTCTCATTATGCACTGTGTCCTGCAGGATTTTATTATACTGTGCACACTGACCACATAGACCCATTCTTTCATATGTAGGCCTACCAGTTTTCTCTCGCTAAATTTGAAGGTGCCAGCATTTATGCGTACTAGTATGGCACCAACCCTGGCATGCAAACCGTACTAGTATGGCTACGGCACCAACCCTGAAAGGGTTAATATAGACATTTTCATTAATCTGTCTACATATTTCTTCAAAATTATGTAAGAAATATGTTACATAGTATATAAACAGCAATGTTTATGTGCGAGGTATGTTTAATAATAATCATTTTTGGGCACATTAAATGACTTTTTTTTAAAAAAAAATAATATAGAAATTTTTTTTAATCCATCAATATATTTTCCTCAAAATTAAAACTATTTTTATAAAAAAAACCTTTTTTAATTTCCCATAAAAACAGGCAAAAGTTTTTTATGCTCTCGAGAGGTTGGTGGGGGGTTTAAACGTTATTTTCTCTGGCCCAGCTTCAGGGGAAAAAGTTATAAAACTGTGTTGGCCAGTAACTCCCCTTTAATATACAAAAGGGCACAAAACCCCTGGGCACAAAATTGTTAAATTATTTCTCCCTTTTTTTTGATGGCATCAAAAGGGTTTATTTTGTTAAAAAAGGGTTTTAAACTCAGTAAACATGGTATGTCATGGTAATGAAATGGCTGAAAGGCAGCAGTGTATGCACCCAGTGGGAAAAACTATAATCATGGAGGGCGCAAAAAACCCAAAAATTATACAGCGCATTGCGGGGGGGAAAGGGGGAAGGCAAATTTAGGCTCAATTCGGGAAACTGGAGCACCGATCCAATTCCCAAGGGCCAAGAGCTCCTCACCCCGTCAAGGGGGCCTCCCTTGAGGGGCCGGTAAGTACAAACCTGGGTGTATTTCCCCCTGGGACAAAATACTACTAACCAAAAAAAAGGCTTCCCAAAAAAGATATGTAAAGCTCATTTTTCATTAAAATTTTGTTTATTTTATATATATTTTCTCGTTATTTTTTATTGGGAAAACCCATAGTAATTTTCTATAAAAAGTATTTTTGTTAATATTTTTGGGGGTTGAAGTGGGGGGTTTAATTGGGTTTATTTTTTCTTATTTGGGGAAATTTACTTCGGTTTTTGGCCTTTCGGTTTTTGGGGCCCCAAACCTTTCCCGGAATGGATTATGAAAAAACCCGGGGGGCTACTATAATTTTTTTTCTTTTATCATAATTTTTTTCTAGGGATTTGGTTTTTAGCGCAACCGCCCAGGGGGGGTACTACCGTCCTGCCAAGTGAGTGTTTTAAAAAGGAAGCCTGTAATTGGGTTTTACAGTTTGGGGGATTTCTGGTTTTCTTTTGTCTTTTTCATAAACATGTAAGATTTTTAGGAGCTTGCTACTTTTTACTTGCCTTTTGGTCACACTACAAAATACATGTACAAGATAATATATTTTTTTTTTTTTTTGGGATAACAGGGCCGATTACCTTTTTCCAAAGGAAAGGGTTTTTTCCCGAAAAAGAATAAAAACCCTTTTCCCAAAATTCCCCTTACTTTTTGGCCGAAGGGGGTTTTAACTACGTTTTTTAAACGGCCCCCCCCAAAAACCCCCTTTTTTTTTTACTTTTTTTTGGCCTTTTTTATTTCCCTCTTCCTCCAAGGGGAAGTGGCCGAAATTTTCCCCTAAATGGGGTTTTGTGGGGTAAAACCCAACAGCCCCCTCATGGAATTTAAAAATTAAATTTTTTCCCCTTTTATTTTTCCCGGGCCCCCCCGCCTGTTTGGGGGTAAGCCCCCGTTAAAAAAAAATTTTTTTAATTTGGGTAATTACTTTTTTTAAAATTTTTCATTTTATCCAATCTTTGTTTGCACTAAAAAAACCCCTTTTAAAGTCAAATTAACCCCCAATTTCACCCCTGGACTAACATTTTAATTCCCGCACCTCCCCCTAAAAAAAATACGGTTCCCCCCTTGCATTTTTTTCACCCACAACCTTTAAATTCCCCACTGCCCTTTTATAGGGGTTTTTTCCTTGGAAAGCAAAACATAATTTCCCCAAACCGGTTTTAATTTTAAGGAAAACCCGTTGGGAAAACTAACCCTCCCATACATTCCCCCCCCCTTTTCCCTCCTGGACAAGTTCCCTTTTGGGTTTTAAAATTTAAAGGTAAAAGCCACACTACACAAAACATGTACAAATAATATATTTTTTTTTTTTTTTTTATTATCACACCGGCCGATTCCCACCAAGGCAGGGTGGCCCGAAAAAGAAAAACTTTCACCATCATTCACTCCATCACTGTCTTGCCAGAAGGGTGCTTTACACTACATTTTTTTAAACTGCAACATTAACACCCCTCCTTCGAGTGCAGGCACTGTACTTCCCATCTCCAGGACTCAAGTCCGGCCTGCCGGTTTCCCTGAACCCCTTCATAAATGTTACTTTGCTCACACTCCAACAGCACGTCAAGTATTAAAAACCATTTGTCTCCATTCACTCCTATCAAACACGCTCACGCATGCCTGTGGAAGTCCAAGCCCTCGCACACAAAACCTCCTTTACCCCCTCCCTCCAACCCTTCCTAGGCCGACCCCTACCCGCCTTCCTTCCACTACAGACTGATCACTCTTGAAGTCATTCTGTTTCGCTCCATTCTCTCTACATGTCCGAACCACCTCAACAACCCTTCCTCAGCCCTCTGGACAACAGTTTTGGTAATCCCCGCACCTCCTCCTAACTTCCAAACTACGAATTCTCTGCATTATATTCACACCACACATTCCCCTCAGACATGACATCTCCACTGCCTCCAAGCCTTCTCCTCGCTGCAACATTCATCACCCACGCTTCAACCCTATAAGAGCGTTGGTAAAACTATACTCCCCATACATTCCCCTCTTTGCCTCCAAGGAAAAAGTTCTTTGTCTCCACAGACTCCTAAGTGCACCACTCACTCTTTTTCCCCTCATCAATTCTATGATTCACCTCATCTTTCAAAACCCCATCCGCTGACACGTCCACTCCCAAATATCTGAATACGTTCACCTCCTCCATACCCCCTCCCTCCAATCTGATATTCAATCTTTCATCACCTAATCTTTTTGTTATCCTCTTAACCTTACTCTTTCCTGTATTCACCTTTAATTTTCTTCTTTTGCACCCCTAAACCCAAATTCTCCACCAATCTCTGCAACTTCTTCGAATCTCCCAAGAGCACAGTGTCATCGGCAAAGGCAGCTGTGACAACTCCCACTTTGTGTGTGATTCTTTATCTTTTAAAATCCACGCCTCTTGCCAAGACCCTCGCATTACTTCTCTTACAACCCCATCTATAAATATATTAAACAACCACGGTGACATCACACATCCTTGTCTAAGGCCTACTTTTTTCTGGGAAAAAATTTCCCTCTTTCCTACATACTCTAAAATTGAGCCTCACTATCCTCGTAAAACTCTTCACTGCTTTCAGTACCTACCCCTACACCATACACTTGCAACATCTGCCACATTGCCCCCCTATCCACCCTGTCATACGCCTTTTCCAAATCCATAAATGCCACAAAACCTCTTTAGCCTTATCTAAATACTGTTCACTTTATGTTTCACTGTAAACACCTGGTCCACACACCCCCTACCTTTCCTAAAGCTCCTTGTTATCTGCTATCCTATTCTCCGTCTTTCTCTTAATTCTTTCAATATAACTCTACCCTACACTTTACCAGGTACACTCAACAGACTATCCCCCTATAATTTTTGCACTCTCTTTTATCCCCTTGCCTTATATATATATATATATATATAATTATATATATATATTTATTTTAACACACACACACCCCTCTGGGTTTTCTTCTATTTTC